AAGCAAACAGAAGAAGACGACATGTATCAACAAACCACCGCAGCCCGGGCCCTTCCTCATTTCTCTAACTCCCCTCATCGACTCCTATCCTCGAGACTTAGTCCCGCCCACAGGAGCGGTTATGGCTAGAAAGGATCCGTCTTGTGTAAATATGACGTCACGTTCTCGTTGTAACTCTCGTTGGAGCGGCTCGGAAACACACCGACAGCAGTAACATGATGCAACATACACATTAATGCAGCAGCAATATTAATAGAGAAACATCAGACATAATAGTAAAACACTGCAAGGGAACATTTTATTGCACCAGGAGCTATCTTGGGACTTTTACTGCGACAACGTTGACTTGCCTGTGAATAAAAAATAAACCATAGTGTTGGTGATCTACAGTGTTGTCATTCTTCTTTGAACACCAGCAAGACCGCTAACACCCTATTTCAACAATCACACTCCCTGTCATTGACATAATTAATAGATAGTTTAGCTTCTCACCATCATTTGCTGTGGCTAACTGATGTTAACGATCGTAACTGAAAGGCTGCCTGACAAACGTAAACATTCAGCCACGTGACATTCAGCCAAACTCTCGCGAGAGTTTTACACAAGACGGATCCTTTCTAGCCATAACCAGGTTAGAGACTCGAAGGTGAAATAAATGAATGAAATGAAGTATAAAGATACATCTATTTGATAACAGGAGCTCATCAGGGACCGGATATCCGGGAGGGCTGGAGGAAGGTAGGGGTTATTAACTGTGGAGAATACGTGCTAACAAAATAACATGCTAACATGCTAACATAACAAACTGCTCAGAAACTCAAAGCAGACACACACACTGAATCACACGCTCAGTCACACACACACACACACACACACACACACACACACACACAGCAGACACACACACACACACACACACACACACACACACACACACACAGCAGACACACACAGCAGACACACACAGCAGACAGACTTGATCCCATTGTACATTAGGTTAAGTTAATTTATTTTCAAATTTTATTGTTGCCTTTAATAAAAAATAACTGATCCCTCCTGTCTGCTTTAGGAGGTCAGCATGCGGACTGTAGGGGGGGCACTGATGTCCAGCGTCCTGAGGCGGGTCGGTTCTGCTGCTCCCAGACCTGAACCTCCACTGGGTCTCAGATCTGAACCTCCACCAGGTCCTGAACCTCCGGCAGCCGGACCCCCTGCTGTCTGCTGTTTGATGTCAACCATCAGGACTCTGTCAGGAATGAGGACTCTGTCAGGACTTGGGACTCTGTCAGGACTTGGGACTCTGTCAGGACTTGGTACTCTGTCAGGACTTGGGACTCTGTCAGGAATAAGGACTCTGTCGGGACTCGGGACTCTGTCAGGAATGAGGTCTCTGTCAGGACTTGGGACTCTGTCAGGACTCGGGACTCTGTCAGGGGTCCGGAGGCTCTCTGGTGGCCCTGATGGTGTCCCTGAAGGTGTAGGGGTCTCTGAAGGGGTCCCTGATGCTGTGGGGGTCTCTGGGGGAATCCCTCCCGGGTGGTACAGCTCCCTCTCGGACTCGGCTCCGGTCCACCTGGTGGAACACTTCCTGCTGACAGTCCAGCAGGCGGGGGGGCTGCCCTGGTGGCTGAGCATCGTCGTGGCAACGCTGTCTGTCCGGACCGCCGTTACTCTGCCACTCGCAGCCTATCAGACGGTGGTGCTGGCCCGGGTGAGTGACAGGGGGGCGGGACTACAGGGGGGGTTCTGTTAGCGGTTAGTACATAGAGTTAGTGAATAGAGATAGTAGTGGTAACTCTGGATGGAGTGTCGTGGTAACCGTGGTAACTCTGGGTGGTGTGTCATGGTAACCGTGGTGTATAGTGGTAACCGTGGTAACTCTGGGTGGAGTATAGTGGTAACCGTGGTAACTCTGGGTGGAGTATAGTGGTAACCATGGTAACTCTGGGTGGTGTATCGTTGTAACCGTGGTGACTCTGGGTGGTGTATGTATCGTGGTAACTCTGGGTGGTGTATCATGGTAACCGTGGTAACTCTAGGTGGTGTATTATGGTAACTCTGGGTGGTGTGTCGTGGTAACCGTGGTAACTCTGGGTGGTGTGTCGTTGTAACCGTGGTAACTCTGATGAACATTCTGATGAATAAGCCCAGTTTCCGCATTTAAATCAGTTCAAAGACAGTGGTTATGAAAATGGATTCAACCCACACTATGATCTTCATTACATACACAGTGAATCATTTGAAATCTAATTTAGACCGATGACAATCATATTAGATTCATATTAACCCTAGAACTGCAGACAATATAGCTAGGACTCAGAAAGTCTGTTCAAAAAGGCAGAACTCCAGGTAAGAAAATCAGATATGGCATTTGCCATTCCACATATTTAATTTAAAGGTCTGTTAACACTAGAACCGCCAACAGCGTCAGCTCCTACAGAGATATCATTTCAATCATTTCATTTGTTCCTCTTCATCATTTCCTTATAAACTAAGTGTCGATTTAAAACTCACTTCATTGGGTTCATTTAGAAATGGCTTCAGTTTATCATCAGAACAGATCAAAAAGTTCAGATTCATTTTACAATAAATCAAGGAATGATGCAC